TATATTATTATTTATATTATTATTTATATTATTATTTGTATCATATTTATATTATTATTTATATTATTATTTATATTATTATTTATAAATAATACATAGATCATTTATTTATATTACATTAGATAATTTATATTTATATTAAATCATAAAATAAATGAATAAGTGAGCGACTAAGTGAGTGAATAAGCAATTTTCTTGTAAATATTATTGGTAATTTTAATTTAATAATTTTATATAAAAGAAACATATATTTTAGCTTAGAAAAATTAGTCATTTAGTCAACTCAAATATTAATAACTCAAAATAAACACCTTTGAAAATAATATATTTATTATATTAAAATATTCCTTTTATTATTTCATTATTTAAGTTTTAAAATTTTATTTTAGTTTTGTTATAACCTCTCACATATTTGTGATGTTATATTAATAACCTCTTACACGTTGTAATGTTATGTTGATGATCTCTTACATGTTTGTAATGTCATATTTATAGTTTGAATCTCTCTCACGTTGTGATGTCATATTATTAAAATGATTTAATAAATTAAATTTATAATATTTTACTTGTCTATAAATTATTGTCATAATTATTAAATACACATTAAATTATAAGAAGATTTCTTAAATCACTTTTTAGCTGATTAGTAATTGAATGAATACACATCATCACCTTTAGCTATTTATCTTATCTCTCCCATTTGACTTAAAACACATGTTGAACATGTAAAAAGATATAATATATTTGAAATTCAAGTAAAACAGTGACAACACTAAGTTAATCAAAGATTATTTATCTTTCTAGCTAAAATACATGTTATATTTATAATAATTATTTGTTACTCAATCTTTTTAATCTAGAACTAATCTATTCTATTTAGAATGAGATTTAATTCATTTTATAAATTATCTTGTGATGCTTGTTTCAATGTTTCACACCTTTTGTTTGAGTGTAACTAATTACTATGAATTACTATTAAGCTAATTTGGTCTTTGAAGATCGATTAATATGTGTTTTTCATATTAATAATAATAATATGAAAGTAATATAAATTAAATACAAATAGTATAAAATATATTAAAAGTAGAATGAGTAATATGAAATAAAATAGAATAATATGAAATATAAATTGAATAGTATGAAATATATTTAAATAGAATGAAATAAGAATGGATAGTATGAAATATAAAATAAATAGTATGAACTAAAAGAAATTATAATTCATAGATCATATATTTACTAACTATCCAATAGAAATATACTTAAAATAATATGATATATTTCATATTAGATGCTAAAATATCACATGATGACAATATCTAATAATGTATATATAGCATTATCAAATAACATATATTGATAATATATATATAACATAATCAGTTTACATCTTATATATATCATAAATGAAATCAAGTTAGATAATATATTATTAACATGAGTGAAATTAGAACATATTTTTAATGTTAACTGATATCAAAAATTCTGATAATTCAAATCAGCATACTTTAATATAACATATCTTAAACATAGATAAAGTTAATCTGGTAACATTTTCCAATAACATTATAAAATATATATCACAACTAGGACACAACTAGGACAAATTTTTCTAGGATCAACTAGGAGGAAAGCAAGTTGATAACATAACCTAATAACATGTATATAACATAACATTTAAGTAATTAATTTTTTATGTATCTGACTCATATGTGATCAGATATATAAAATGCATTATCTTGATATATGATATAAAAAGCAAAATGCATGTTACTTGAATGTGATCTAAAAAATGAAATATATCTCATATTTAAGTAAATTATAATATAACTTGAATAATTTATAGTTTTCTGAAAACTATAAACTACTAAATTAATTATTCAATCAAAATAAATTATAAGAAATTATATAATATGTTAAAATTTATATCAAAACAGTATGTAAAATTATTGAGATCTATTTCCATTTTGTTGAGAGAATTAGATGAATTAAAATTATCTGATTTTAGTTTTTTTGTCTGCACTTGGATAACTGAATGTGATCTTTCATATAATTATTTTCAAACATTTACTTTATGAAAAGTTAATGTAATTTCAGATGAAATACTGGTATTACTTACAGGAATTTGAGTGTTAAACTTTTTAGTTGGTGAAGAAAGACCTAAATAAAGAATGATAAAGTCAAATTGATAGTTTTTTGTTGTTGTTAGACATTTTGTTATTGTTTTTGTGAAGAAATTTTAAAAAATAAAATAAAACGAAGAAATTCGTTAATAAAGATGTTAAAAGGATGTTTTTAAAGCAAATTGTGTAAAGATAGTAATGAGTTGGACTTCTTTTCTATTGTGTGTGTAAAATTTTCACTCTTGGACAGGTTTCATAAAGTGCGAAAAAATGATCAGCGGGAAAAGTTTTTGCGAATTATTATTTTCTTAATCTATTAAGATGATTGTTATGTAATATAAGACCCCCTACATTCCCCAATCGCATTTCGTCATATTATGCTAATTCTGGCATGAATTATGCAAGCACAACAGATTTAATTATTTCGAAAATTTTTTTATTTTCGTTACTTTTTATAATGACCAAAAAACGCGGTTCAAAAACTAATAATGCAACAACTGGAGAGGGAGAAATTAGTAGTAGTGGCTCTTTAACCTTCAAAAATCAGTTAGGAAAGTTTGATTCTATTAGTGGTGATTACTTTGCACTTGTCACCCCTGGTGTAGACCGGCATCGTCTACGAGTATTTGACCGAATTACCGGAATAGTGAAGAATGACTTTTCCTCCGAGAAAGAATACAAATTTACTTGCTTAACTTGGGGTGAGATTTCCTCGGGTGAGGAGATAAATGACGAATCCGTAAGTAAAAAAAAACTCGTGATTCGCTCAAATTATTTTTCAAAGTTAACTTTTTTATATTCACTCGATTCATTGATAGGAGTTGTCATCTTCATCGAAACCGAATAAAAATGAAAAACCGTACATATCAAAAAAATTCAAAGTCATTGCACTTGGTCTACAAAATGGTTCAATCGTAATATACTCTCTATCCCACGACAAAATAATAAGTAACTTAAAGGGAGCTCATACATCGCAAATAAATGATTTTGTTTTTACAAGAGATGGAAAAAGAGGTTTCTCATGTTCCGATGACCTTTTAATTGTCGAATGGAATATTGAAGAAAGAAATGTTGTTAGGTGAGGTCTCTATATAGCTAACTAATAAATCAAACAATACGCGATTTTTAGCGTCTCAATAAACTATTCCTCTCCAAAGCTATAAATATAATGACGACATTGTTGGACCTCATGATGATGATGATGAATTATTATCGTCGTCGTCTCCCAATTGAGACCGACTTTTCAAATTGCTTACCGAACCATTCCAAATATCTTCATAGTAAATGGAAGGCTGATTCAAAAGTTACCAAAAAACTCGCGCTGTCTCACAATCAATCAAGGTTAATCACTACCGGATACACAATAAAGTTATGGGATTTGAACTCTAAGAAGGTGATTAGAAATTACACTGGACATACGAGTCTCATTAACAATATAATATTTATGGCGTCAGATAATATGTGTATATCAGCCGCTGAGGATGATCGTTTCATTAATGTCTGGGATTGTCAAGGAAATATTGAAGGGGGCGTAAATTTAGCGGGTAAGTAAAATTATATGAATATACATACGGATTAAAAAATTTCTAAATTCAATATTTTGGAATATAAAGCTTTGGTAATAGATTCAAATATCACGAGTATTTCAATCTCGTCAAAAGACATTCTTTTCGTAATTTCTGAGGACGGAATTATGTATCTTTTTGATATTAAAACATTAAAGAATCTATCTTCCTTGTCGAGCAAGAAAAAAAAACATCTTGATGATCGGTCACCTAAATGTGTTATAAAAGTTTTGAGTGAAGGAAAAGGAGAAACAATACCAATTCTTGGTGCTTTTTTTATCGAGAAAGAGGAAGACAAATTTCCTTCCATTGTTATTGCAAGAGGAAGCACTGTGAAACCGATATTTGATATTGTGGTATCATTTTTTCATTCTTTTTTTATTTGATTATCGATAATTACGATGCTCAAAATTTATGATTATTACAATTACATAGGATCTTGATAAAGAACGAAATAATAAAAAATCTTTACCTCCCGAAATAAATTTAATGAGGCCACCACAAACTGGTTTTCTACTGGGAGAATCTAATTTAGCTGCAGCGAATTTGGTAATTTCAATTATTAGTATTGTAAAAAAAGCCCTATATAAATAATTCAGACTAATTTGCATTTTTTGCTGATGATAAAATAAGAAAGTGACCCAGAAACAATATGATGAGTCAAATACTAATGTTTTGGGAAGCTCAAATGTCGGTTTACCAAAGCTTTCCCTCGCCATTGAACTCGACGAGACACCGCCAAATAAAGTATAATCCAGTCCATTTATGACTTTAGCTGATTAATTTTCATTTTAATCATACAAATTTATCTATTTATGCAGAAACCTGACAATCCCGTCTCTGTGGGATCAATTAATAATATAACTCTCGCACAATCACGTTTCAATAAGCCTACAAAAATCTCTAATAGTTCCGAATTCACAATAGTCGATGCAAACTCATTACAAAATGTGCTGATGCAGGCTTTACATTCTGACGACACCATTGTGTTGAATAGGATTTTGTACACAACAAAACCAGAAGTCATGAAAAATACTGTGAAAAAATTACCCGTAGAATACGTCATTCCACTAATAGAAAAGATCGTAGAGAATTTTCAAACGAAACAAAATCCAGAAATGGGGATTTTAACATGGATGAGTCAAATTTTACTGGAACACACTGCTTATTTGATGACGGTTTGTTTTATGTTTCACTTTATTATCTTTAATTCGTGATCCAGATGAGGATCGGTGAAAAATCACTAAAATTTACTATCGATTTTGGGGATAATGGTAATAATTGATCTACAAGTAGTTGATGTTGATTCTCGTAGATGCTAAACATGTTCGTTACCACACTTCTTTATGTACTGATGGCAGATTCAGGAATGGCAAAAATTAGCAATTTTCTCCCATTCTTCACTAATTATTTCCATCAATCGATATCTAGATCACGAAATAAATAGTTTATCCTTTATTCCTATCATATTATTTATCTCACTAATTATTTTTTATTAGGTACCAGATTTAGTCAGAAAACTCTCAAATTTTTATCAAGTTTTGGAAACGCGTTTACAAGGATTCAACAAGCTTCTAAGCTTTCATGGGCGTCTTGAAATGGTCATGCAACAAATTTCAATGCGGCAACGATATGCTGCTGAGAGATTTTCGGATAGTGATATCGCAAATTCGGCAAAGACAATTTATGTTGAAAGCGAAGATGATGATGATAACGATCAAAATATGGAAGCATATGAAAATGAAGGAAGAACGAAGAGTAATACTATGGTATATTTTTTATTATTATATATACACTTTTATACACATAAATAGGTGTATATATAAATACAAGACTTTTTTTTATATAAAAGGAGATTGATATAAGTGAAAGTTCGGACGACGATTATCAACCAAGCGAGGAAGAAAGCAACGAGCAAGAGAGTGACGAGGAAGATTTAATGCGTCAAGATAAAGATGAAGATGATGATTCCGAGAATAGGTCATCTGAGTAAAGCTGTTGGCTGATAAATTATATAAAACGATTGGCAATTAATGAAAAATAGTTTGGCAAGTTTAATAAAACCGCTTGAAATTTCGACTCGGTAGTGATGTGACTCGATTAATAATTGCGTTTGAAATGTAACCTTGCAATGCATTAGTGTTTTTTACTTTGGACAGTAAGGAATTAATTTATTAACTCGAATTTTATTAAAGAGAAAATCAAGTCAAGTTTAAATATTCCTATTTTTATGGATAGAGAAATAAACAATTGTTTTGATGTGGTCTTTTCTAATATATATAAGCAAAAAAAAGGGGGGGGGGGGTTAAAACAAAAGAATCATAATATGTATTAATGATGGAAAAGCCGAACATTCGTATGTATCAAAAGTATATTATGTTCATTGGCTGCTTTGATAACATCGTCATCCTGAATAGAGCCACTAGGAGCAGCGATATACGAGACCCCAGATTGATGTGCTCGATGAATATTATCAGAGAATGGGAAAAAGGCGTCAGAAGAGAGTGCGACATCAGATAAAGACGCGAGATGAGATTTTCGTTCTTCGGGTGTTAATGGTTGAGGAATCTTGTTGAAATTCGATTCCCAGGAAATTCTTTCTTGGCCCTATTTATTAAGGATTATATAGATAAAATTTTTAACTATCAAAAAATCAATACCAAAAAATAGAATTACAAACCTCTCCAATCTTATCAAGAATATAAAGATCGATAGCATTACTCTTCTCGGCTCGTTTTGTCTCCTTTTTGAAATCGAATTCTAGCACTTTGGGATGATGTCTAAGCCACCAGGTATTTGCTTTGTCACCGGCAAGACGCGTACAATGAATACGCGATTGTTGCCCAGCCCCGAGACCAATGACCATTCCGTTTTTCGCGTAACAAACCGAATTCGATTGTGTATATTTGAGAGCAATCGTGGCCACAATTAAATCTCGAAGTGCGGTTTGAGGAAGCTTTTTTGTCAACATGATATTGGTTAATTATGTCGAATATTTGCCAAAAATATGTATTGTATTTTTTCATACAAACGTTTTTATTTTGGCTCACGATGTTTTCGAATATTTGTGGCGTGATAACGACATCGTTTCTCTTTTGTTGTAGATATAATCCGTATACTTGACGCGTTTCTAGTGCTGGAGGTTCGTATTCAGGGTCTATCTGTACAATCAAATATAAAATGGATATATATAGTGAATACAATTTTTTTTGGCTTTATGGATTATGTAAAAGCTTTTATGATATAAATTAATCTTATTACCTGTATAATAGTATATTTCCCTCCTTTTTTCTTTCGTAGGATATCTAGTGCTTCAGATTCATATCCTGGAGCAATCACACCATCGGAAACCTACGAACAAAGTAACATACCATGATCAATAAATTATATTAATGATAATTAAAAATTGTAATTAAAACAAATTATTACCTCACGCGATATCAACTTTGCGGTTGAGACGTCCACCGTGTCACTGAGTGCAATCCAATCCCCGAATGAAGACATTCTATCAGCACCTTTTATGATTTATGTTATATTGAACATGTTATCAAGAATAGGATAGTTCAAGACTGCAAGCAAAGGGAATTTGATGTAATCCACCATTTTCATTTTGATCCTCGCTTATCCAATCACCTCACACTCAAAAAAGAACTTTATAGGTAACAAAAATCCCGTATTACATACCTCTAGCACGAGCATACGCAATAGCTAAAGGTGAAAACTCTTTTAGATCGTCAACAAAATAGACTTTTTTCTCAATATCACTTAATGGAGCACCAATAGCCGCACCGGCTGGTGACACGTGTTTGAAGGACGCGGCTGCTGGAAAGGATAATGCTTTTTTTAATTCCTAATTTTGATTAGAAAATTCAATTATATCAATTCGTAAAAATGATCATATTCGAGGTGAATAACTAAATACACAAAAATGGTAATATATAAGCTCTTAAGATAAAAACCTTTACTAATGGCCATCCATTCAAGGCATCAAGTAAATTGATGTAACCAGGTGCACCAGACAATACTATACACGGATCGCACACATATAATTAACTAGTTATTATAAAATTACATAACGCAATAATTCGCATCATATGAGCTATACTAACCTTGTATCGGCAACTGCCCACTCTTTACATAAACCTGTGCAGGTTTCTGATGTGGATTAGCGCCATATCGTAATGTAATCTGCGAGATATTTTGCTCGTATTGTTGTCGAAAGTAATTTGCAATCGTGTCGTCGTATTCGGCAGTGTGATTGAATGCCTACAATTAATAAATAAATATACAAGATTGATCAATATCAGATTTACATAAAGAATCATAAATGAATAGTAAATAAGTATTCAAACAATCAATCAGACAATATACCTTTAGTGCAAAAGATTTGCGAGTATTCTCTGAAATCTCGCCTCCAGAAGTTTTCAACTCCGCCAAGAATGTAGCATAGTCTTTTGGATCAGAGAGAACTGTTACTCTTTCGTGATTTTTTGCCGCGGCTCGTAGTAAAGTTACGCCACCTTTTTTTAATTGTTAATTAATCAGCAACGATAATATAAAAAATGTAGGAAATTTAATATTACAAACCAATATCAATTTCCTCGATTGCGTCTTGAGCAGTAAATCCATCTTTGCCGATAGTTTCTTTGAATGGATACAGATTACATATTACAAAATCGATTTTTTGTATTTTTTGAGCGACGAGATCTTTTTCGTCGCTTTCAATATTGCGTGCAAGGATTCCTATCATTTTTGAATTCGATTAAATAGATTTATAAAATAATGAATATATAGATGCATTATTTCATTAATATTTAAACTATAAATATAAATCATATACATGCCACCGTGTACAGCTGGATGCAATGTTTTGACGCGTCCTCCTAAAATCTCTGGTGCATTTGTGATCTCTGAAACATCACTAATGTTTATTATTACATGTTACAATTTTTTATATTATTTTATAATCAAATCAAAATTTAGAATTGTATAATAACACACGTGATAGGCACACCAGCGTCGCGTATCTTTTTCGCCGTGCCACCCGAACCGAGGAGCCTCACGTTCAAGTTGTGTAGTTCGGAGGCTAGGTCAATGAGACCAGTCTTATCGTATACAGATAGAATTGCTTTTTTATTTATTATTATTTATAACATAGAAATAATTTAATAATTTAAATACAGTGATTTTATCCTTAAAGGAAAGAAGGAAAATTAAAGCTACCTGTTTTATTAACACTCATTATCGTTATAAACTAGCGCTAGTAAATGTCGAAGTGAAAAAATCCCGATTAGATGAGGTTCATCTATTATTGATAAGCCAATAATAGATCACCTTTTCAAAAAATACATTTTCTTCTCGAGCATAAAAAAATGAGTGATTCTGAAAGTGACGTTTCTAGTGTTATCTCTAGTGATACTTCTGGAGATAGTGAACCTTCTGAAGATAGTGAACAAACCTACATAAATAACACAAGTAACAATTCTTTTATGTTTTGCTCTTTATATATATCAGGTGAATATTTTTTTACACATTATTTTTTTTATTTTTAGATGGTTCAAAAGGTAAAAAACGACAACTCGAGGAAGAAGTGACATTGTCAGTAGACATGTCAGAGGACAATGACGGTCCTGCTCTAGGTATACTTATTCTCTACAAGTCAACGAACTAAGAATTGTATGCATTATATATTCATAATTAATACAATTTTAATATACGCGTTAGCCTGGTTTCCAGGAGTAATACCACCCGAAGAAACAGAATACAAGTTGTATGTACGTTCCGAAGCAAAGGATGCCAAATTAATGAAACAGAAAATCTTGTTTGGCGAAACTAATTATGTCGAATTGAATGGAGTTAATTATAGCGAACTAAAAGACATGAAAGACATGTATGGGTATTGCAAGTGAGTTTATTATTATTATGTTATGCATCTTTTTCTTTTATTTTTAAGTTGATAAACGTTTCTGAATTAGATATTTAGTGGGAGTGTATGATAAAGAAACTAGCACTGTGACATTAAAAGAGATTCCGGTGTTCAACTTTTCTGTGGTTGTGAAGAAGAGAAAACTTATGAAAAAACCAGAATCTTCAGTGAAAAAGAGCGTGTGTATTGTATTCGTAACTTTTTATAAAAAGTCCTCGATTTTAGTTTATGCATAAGGAGTCATTTCTTTAATATTATTATTAAAGTATGCAGAGGCCAGAGCGGATCTTGGCAGAACATTTGGCAACAAAAAGCTTATACAGCGTATTAACGACGCCGAAAAAAACGCTGTATATGCTGATATGGTGGAAGCTTCTACTCGAGATTCCATAATACAAACCGTCGAAGATAAATTACAAATGCTGCCGTCTACGGGTATATATTTCAGAGTATTAAAAACTAATAATGAATTAATTTTCTTAAGACTAATTTTTTACCCAAATTAGAGCAAGTTAATAGTGACATTGATGCGAATCGAAATATCCCCCCATATAATGCGCAAGCGACAGAACCTGCTAACGTCTATAAACTCGAAGATATTGTACCGACAAATGAGTTGAACATGGTACCAATCAAACAGATTTTGGACGCTACGACCTCGGAAGAGGCATTGCAATTATTCCCGTTCAAGTATGTCTTTCTATTTAGTTTAAGAATAACCTCTTTAATATCACTAAGGATAAAAATCTTTTTTAAAAAGGAATTCAAAGTATATCACATCACATTTGTTAAAATATTGGAATTTTAAATTTGACCAGCAAACACGACGAAAAATCCAAATTTTGGTCTACATCTCGTATCTGATGTGTTTCAGTTCACATCAGAAGACTATTGAAAGACGCGGAGAAGTCGCCAAGAGCTTGAATAGTCCACCGTCAGTGATTATCGATAATCTGTATAATAGGTTTACGGAAACAGTGATACATAAAAAAACAAAGAATGCCTCGTAAGTAATCTATTTCTTATTAATTAAAAGAATCAATTAATTAAAAAAAGTGAATTCTCTAATTCTTAATTTACTTTATAAAAAAAAAAGTCGAAAAATGACGCCAGTATTACAAAACAAGTTATACAGTTATGCGTTTGTATTGTGTCTTATATTGGATGAATATGTCCTTGATCCGACTAACTTAGCAAATGACTTGTGTGTCGCAAAACAAAGGTAAGCAAAGTGATTTATTATCCGAGTTTAAACATTTTGCTATTTATCTTTCATGACTACTAATCTTTATATTCGTAGAATAAACGATATCTTTAAGTCTTTAGGATGTCGCGTTGACAAGCTAACAAAAGAAGAACGCGAAACTGCCGGCTTCACAGCTGTTGAAGCGAGATCCATGAAGAGAGCAAGGTTGCAAGCCCCACCTGTTTTCCCAGTGAAAAAACAGAAGAAGTAACTCGCGAGCTCTGCTATGAGAAAAAACTTTCTTAGATATTTTTATTTGTTCACAATTATCAGAAATTCTTTGAACATAAAATATGCAAAACTATTCATCGAAAAAAACAAATTCTTTATAAACAGATATTAATACTTAAGGTCAATGATTACATTTATTAGTTCTATATATTATATATATTAGTTCTATATTAGAAAGAACTTCAATTCCAAAAATTTATAAAGCGTTGCATAAAAAAATTCTCAGATAAATGCAAAAAGAAAGAATAGCAAATTTTATAGTAATCGAAAAATAAAAATTAGTAAAAAAAGATTGTTTTAATTATTAAAATCGTGGTTCAGATTAATTGAGTAAAATGGAAATGGATATTATCATTATATATATATATATATATATATACTTATATATCGCATTTTGATCTCTGAGTGATAAATCAAAAACTCGTCATTCTTTAAATCTCATTATTATCACACATTATAAAAAATATAAAAATCAAATAATCTTTTTGAAATTTGTAAAATGGTTCTTTGTTGCTGTTAATAAATATACTTTAATTTCCTTTTAATTTACAAGTCTTGAAATATTTCTGAAACTTCTGAACAATTTTTTTCTTTTTTATTTAATTATTCTGAAAATTTCCTTGGATATTTGAATTTTGTTTTTGGTATATTTAGTATAATTTAAAATAAAAAATGGTTTATATGTTGCATTAATATATAAATTATAACTTTAAATTATAACTTTAAAGAATAAAAGATAATAAAAATCTAAAGCAATTATAAAATGTATAAGTAAACAAAAAATCATATTATATAATTAAAATTAAATATAATAAAAATATAAAGAATTTAATTGAAGCAATTTATATTACTTTTATTGCTTTATAATAGAATGCATAATAATTTTGAACTTTATGATTTGATATTATTTATCTTAAATGAATAACAATTTTTTTGTAGTAAATTCTTTTATGTCTTATATAAATTTTAATATATTAATTATAAAGAAATTAAAGATAGAATTTTTTATACTTGTATTAATTAATATTATTTACTGAATCAGATTATTTTGAGTAAAATAAAAAAATAAATAATGATTAATCAATCAAATTTTATTTTATATTTTCAAAATAAGTTTGCAATATAATTTTTATTTATTTTAAATATATTTTAAAGCTTAAAATAAATTTTACAAGAAAAAAATTTTGCAGTAATTAATGTAATAAACAATATAAAAACCAAGTAAAAGAGACAAAAGAAAAGAAACTGTCATCACTATCAAAAAAAAACCAAAAGTGATATCATTACCACTATATCAATATCAAAAATCCAGTTTTGATAAAGATTATTATCAGAATCCAATAGATTCTGCTGACAATCTTCATTAGAGTTTTATTTAATAATCTGATTTAGTTTAATAATATACAAAGTAATTGTCACAACTCAAACAGATATCTAATAAAAAATTGAATGAATATTTGCTTATATTATTAAAAATCAAAGTATCAGTATGATTTATAATCATATATGAAAAAAAGCACTGAAAAAACTAGTGATATCAACTTTCAGAACTTTTGGTATTTTTAGAGCTTTTATTATTCAATTTACTATACCATCATCAAAAATAACCAATTCATTATTGTTATTATTCACAGTAGTTATTTGATCATCACCAAAAAAAATATCTCTGAGAAGTAATCATTTGTCAATATCAATATTATCCTCAAAAAGTAATTATCTGTCAATATCACCATTATCATTATCAAGATATAAAAAACTGACAATAATCAATATTAAAGATATTTTTATAAATGTATCATTTTTAATTTTTTTAGTTAATTTTATTATAAATAATTCAGAAACAAAAATAGATAATAATAAACTGGAAGACAAATCAGAAAAAGACAAATTAGAAGAAGAAAAATCAGAAGAAAAACTGAATGATGAATTGGATAATAATGATAATAAAAATAACTATAATAAAGATGATGATGATGATAACAATGAAAATTATTATATTACTTCAAAAAAAAGAAAAGCAATTAAAAGTAAGTTAAGTAATTATTGAATTTTATTTCTATTTATTTCTTTTTTATTTCTTTTTTATTAGAAACTAAAAACAACAAGTCTCAGAAAATAAAGACTAAAAAGTCAAAATCTAAAAAGAAATCTTCTGATGAAGAAATTAAGAAAAGTGATAATAGTATAAAAAGAGTTATAACTCATTTACAAAGAGTATTCAAAAAAAGAAAAAAATAAATACAATAAGTAAGAAATATTATCAATTTTTATCTGAATAATGATTTTTGTTGCACTTGCTTTTCTTGTTTTTGTTTTTAAATTAGATTTTTATTAGTTTGGCTTGAGTTTTGTTTTGACAAATGTTTATCTATTCCTATTACTATTTTATTTTTATTTAATATTGCTACTATTTCTAGTTCTTACATATGAGAATATTTAAAAATGATTAACAGTGATTGTATTCACAGCAAATTTTAAAATAAGAGAAATATAAATGATGAAAGTGAATGATTGACAATAATAAACTAATAAGAATACAAGTATAAGATGGATATTTAAGTATATTTGAATAATAATAAGACAATACTAAAACTAAATATATGCTATTAATCAAAATTAGAAAGTGTATTAATAAAATAAATAGCAATATAATGACAAGTAAAAAACAATAAAGATAAAACAAAGGCAAAACAAAGAAAAACAAAACATAAATAAATAAAAATAAAGTGAACAAAAAGAACAAACAAGAAAAGTAAAAAAAGACAAGACAAAGTTAAAATCAGGATATAATCTTCTTAGTTTATTTCAAGTCAATTCTCATATTACATATATAGCGAATTTGAGTTACACTGATCTATATGTTATTTACATATATAGATTACAAAGTAAAATTAATAAAAGTAAAGATCTACAACATGTTGGAATATGATAACTATTGTGTAATATTAGAAAGGGATTTGTGTAAAATCTATGTATTGCTAATTAAATTAATATAACAAGAGATTAAAATAAAGTACTAATAAGATTTAAAATATAAAATACTGTAATAATAGTATGAATTGATTGATAAATTGAATGATGATAAAATCTAAACTAAAATGATGCGATAATAATATAAAATAATTGGATAAAAATATAAATTATTGCTATTGGATAAAAATGTAAAAAATATAGAAAAGTAAAAAGT